AAGAGCCCTATTGTAGGCCATATATAGACTAGCAACTACAATAAAGGAGGCACACACAGCAGAAAACAAGACAGATGACTGTCCCATGCAGGAATGACATCCTCTTTGCCCGTCGAAAGGCTTCATCGGGAGAGTAAACAGAGTCCATAGATTTGGGGGGGGGGGAATCATCAATGACACATTGGACAGTGGTCCAATTGCCAAAATATACAGAACTCTACAACTGCTCGATCAGAAAATAACAAATGGCCCAATTAAGAAATGGGGAAAAGATAGGGACAATTCACCAAAAATAAAGTACAAATGGGTAACCAACACATGAAAAAATACGATCACTAGCCATCAGGGAGATGCAAATTAAAATTACAATGAGATTCCACTTTATAACCAATCAATGCTAGCTGTTTAAGGGAAAAAAACAAAAAAAATGCTCAAGAAGATGTGAAGAGACTGGAGCTGCTATGCACTGTTGGTAGGCTTGTAAATACATACAGCCACTATGGCCAATGATATGGTGACACTTAAGGAACTAAGAATTGAAATCCCATACAATCCAGCAATACCACTCTTCGGCATAATACCCCAAAGAAATGAGAGACACAACACAAGTAGATGTATTCTCTCCATGTTCATAGCAGCAGAGTTCACAATAGCAGAAACTGGAAGCAGTCCAAATGCCCACCAGTGGAAGAATGGATAAAGAAACTATGGTACATACACACAATGGAATACTATGGATCCCCCAAAACAAAAAACAAACAAACAAAACAAAAGTGATGAAAAAACACATGAAATGACCTGGAAACCATTATGCTGAATGAAGTTAGTCAATCACAAAAGGACAACTATTGTATGAGTCCACTACTGTAAACAGAAACCCCAATTAAACAAATCTTAGAGACGAATTCCCAAACAAGGGAGTAAAAAGGCAACCTACCCATCATGAACCATACATCACCCCCCTTATGTGCACTTCATAAGAATCACCTCAGAAAAGGAGACCTCACATTGGCTGGGATCACTCCCAAGAAGGAGGGGAAGGGAGAAGGCCATCCACGTGATGCCATCCAACACTGAGCTGAGGCTGTGACAAATGGACAGGCCCTCCACAGGAATGAGCGGAGAACCTTCCCTGGAAATCAAATTAAGGCTGGGGGAGGGAGCATCTACAGTTTAGAGGATGCACTGAAATGTCTGTTTGCGACTGTGGTGGATAAATGAGGAAGACCAACCTCACATTGGGAAAGGATGCTAAACAGTAATTGCAAGAAACCTAAAGGGACAGTGAACCTGATTGTACATTCCTGGGCAGACATTACAGTCGGTTTCTACCCAACCCTCCATTAGCCATGTCATGGAGTAAGCACCATGATGCCCTTAGGTGCTGGCTTTACATAGCATCCCCCAAGGACCAGAAGGGCTATGCAGAAGCCTGGCTGAATGAACTGAGTCTTACCTCAAAATTGCCTGTACCCTTGGATTTAGGACTGAAGTACTCTGATGGGAGAGGAAGCAAAGGATGGTAATCCCAAGACTGTGGAAACAGTGTCATTGGACCTTGGGTGGGACCTCTGGTTAATGGGTGTCCAAGGAAAGGGGACACAGAAATGCCATATACTTAATATCTCAATGTTCCCCTTACATTCATATGGCAGGTTTTAATCTTTTAGGCAAGGATCTGTACCTGTAAAAAATGATACAGGAAAATTTCCCCTAGCACCAATTCCTATCTCAGTGTAAGCAGAGCTCAATCAGTTAATTCAATCTGTACAAAGCAACAACTCATGGGCTGCAGTTCGCAGTTGGACTATACTCATATAAACTCCTCGTATCACCAGTATCTTAAATTCTATGTCGCTAGTAAAATGATTGATGTTATCAATGCAATCACCTTATACTCCAGGAGGATGGTTGACAGTGTTTTTGTTTTTTGTTTCTTTGGGTTTTTCTTTTTCTGCCTTTTGTTTTGTTGCTATTGTTGTTGTTCTGTGGGTTTCTGTTTTTGTCTTAATACGACCACCAAGTTAATGGTGTTACTTTGGGAATAGTATGCTGCTATGGTTAGTATATAGAGTGTTTTAAAATCATTATGTCCTTGAAGGGCCTGGCTCCTCTTATTGGACCAGAGTGAGTGGCCTGAGAGGTCTGGATATTTAGGAGTCGGTAAGACTGTCTGGAGGAGGGCTGGTATAATAAGAAAGGAGTGATTATCTGGGAATTAAGTGAATCTGGGATGTGTGGTGTTTTTGTACAGTCACGATTCAACAGACTGTCCCATGTGTTCACAGTATTGGAAGATGATTCAGATGTCCATATTTATTTACAGTATTCTGTGGGGAAATGGGATGTAAGGGAGGACTCAATTCATCTGGCATCTCATTGCAATGCCGATTCTGACTCAGTAGACCCAAGTCTGCATTTCTAACAAGTCTACATCTGCTGCTGCTGCTTAAGCCATCTTGTGAGCATCCACATCCTAGAAGATTAACTTTTCTTCTCTTACAGTTATCCGTGTCTAAGGTTGGATTCTCTAGAGAAGTAAAACTAATGAAGCTTATAGAGAAAAATTACTATCAAAATGGTTTGCACAGTTGTAGAAATGGGCATATTCCAAGTCTGGACAAGCTCCAAGTCCATGGACTGGATGTGAGGCTGGAGTTTTCTCCTGACTCTAGTTGCAGAGATTGATGAACCCATGAGGGGCAAGAAAACAGGCTTGTGGCTGCAGAGGTGAATGAATCCAACCCAGGCAGGTCAGATGGAAGCTGTCGATGACCCCCAGGATCAGCAGGCTGCTGGCTCAGGTCTACAGAACTGGAGTTTGATGAGCCATTTGTAGGATCCAGACCCGGCAAAACACAAGAACGTTTTTCCAGTGTCCACTTATATTAGAAGCAGTCCACACCCCAGAGTAAAGCTTCCTTTCAATTGATTTGATCACGGCTGTGATCTGAGTATGGGTGTTACATCTCGCCCCAATCTTCTTATAGCTGATTGACTTCTCATAGCAGACTTCATTATGGAAGTGATAGCATAGATCCCGGGGAAATTATTAGGTCTTAACTGCCAAACCAGTGAGAATCAAGGCCCAATAAAGTTGATAAAAACATAAGTATAACAGTGAGCGTGTTTATTCTTCTGTTTTTAGGAATGTCTTGGGGATAAGAGGGTCTTATAGTTAAGGTGTGTTTCAAAGAAGTTGGAGTGTTCACACAGGACCATTGTGCTTCTAAGAGGTCAGAACTTAATGGAGAGAATATTTCCCTTAGAAATCTGGGTATTAGGATGAGATCATAATGTTCTAAGTATTAGAGTGTCCTTAAAAAAGTCCTGGCGAATCCAGGGCAGTTGAGCCCTACAGGACCAGTGGTGTGAGTGGCGAAACATGGAGGATAAAGGGAGAGTGGGTAGGAAAGAGGGAACCAGTTACAAGGAACTATATGTGACCTCCTCCCTGGGGGACGGACAACAGAAAAGTGGGTGAAGGGAGACGTTGGACAGGGCAAGATATGACAAAATAACAATTTATAAACTATCAAGGGCTCATGAGGGAGGGGGGAGCGGGGAGGGAGGGGGAAAATGAGGACCTAATGCCGGGTGTTTAAGTGGAGAGAAAATGTTTTGAGAATGATGAGGGCAATGAATGTACAAATGTGCTTTACACCATTGATGTGTGTATGGATTGTGATAAGAGTTGTATGAGCCCCTAATAAAATGATTAAAAAAAAAAAAAAGTCCTGGCATCCTGGGAGTGTCAAGTTGTCCTTAAAAGCATTCTGGGAATTCAGGGTGTCCTGGGGATGTCTGTGATCTCTCTATGTGACTTCAGGAGGCAGCGAATCCTGATTGGTCAGAGTGCCAACGTTCCTTGAAGATTCAAAACGCTAGAATGAGATGGGATGTCAGCTTCCTGCAGGGATGTGATGTCCTGGTGGTCAGGCATCACCTGGAAACCAGAGGCTGTTTTTATAAATGAATAGATTGCTATAGGTCTGTGTGACCTTCCTTGATTGTCATGGTGTTCTAGGGATTCTGAGCAAATGAAGAGATGAGTTTGGGGGGAAGAAATGTGACTCCCCTGTAGTATTCAAGTGCAGTCACACAGACAAACTCAGCAGATTGGGTTGCGGCTGCCTTGAAGGGGTGGCTAGTGTATGAGGTCTCAACAAGGTCATGGGGGAAATCCATAGTCTTTTCTTCCCATTTGTTCTAGGAAGCTCTTGAAGCCCCCGAGTATGTTGAGATAGTCACATAACCAGGCGGGGGCAGAATAGGCTTGTAACTTGTATGCCTTTCCTTTTCTGGAAACAGATCCTTGGGCATCACCCACATGCCCAGAGCTGCTAGCTTCTCCTCTCCTCCAAGTGGTGCTTAGAGGGGGGGAGTGCGATTTCTTCTCTTTCCCAGCCTGCTCCCAGGAGGGGATTTAACAGGACAAAAGAATTGGTCTCTGGGAATGTGAGCTCTTGGCCCCAGTTCCTGGACCCTCCAACAGAACACCTTCCCTCATCTGGCTTGTGATCCTCCCTGAGGCGGGGCTCTCATGGCCAGGTGATGATTGGACAGGCCACAGGGGGACAAGGCTGTCACTCCTCCAAGACTCAGGGACAGAGTAGTGGTGCGGGGCTGGAAGTGGTCAAGGGAGGCAGCTGAGAGCACAGGAGAGAAGAGAGTTCCAATGGAAAGAGGGGTCAGGGCTAGAAAAGCAGTGCAAACAGGCAGAGGGAGCCAGGAGAAAGCCAGAGAGAGCGAGTGAGACAGAGACTTGAGTAAAGGAATTGGGGGTTAGAAACAAAAAGGAGGGACAGTGCAAGAGAAAACGGAATGATCTATTTCTATATTTATAGATATCTCCACACAGACATGGAGAGATGAACAGAGGGAGAAGGAGTGAGGCAATAGGCATAGCAGGAAGAGAATTACCAAAGCAGAGAAAGAGTGACCTACAATCAGATTTAGGGAGGCAGGAAACTGGAAGTCTTAGGTCTTCCGTTTTAGCCATGGAAGCAGAAAGGAAAGATCAGCAGAGTAAACCAAAAAAGAGGAGAGCTCACAGCCACATCTTGCCTGAAAGACGCCCGGACATTGGGACCTCCACTGCGGGTGAGTGAATCGCTGGGTTGAGGGCTGGCACGGTATCTGAGTTCCTGCAAGGCAGTGTTTCTCCATGAGGAACATTGAGAGGAGAAATAAAATAGAATACTAGAATATTCAAACTGTGGAGAATGGAAGAAACGTGCAAGTCCTTCACTTTAGAATTCAGGGAACGGAGACCCTAGCATTGAGTGATCTGAAGACTAGCAGACATCCAGTCGGGGCAGAGGCGAAGCTGAAATCTCTGTCTCCTCACTCCCCACTCCTACCCAGGACCTGACTGCTCTCATGGAAGGGATTGTAGGGGCAAAGCCTTTGGCATCGGGAGACCTGGGGCAGGTGATAAACATGTGTTTCCCTAATGTGGGCATCAAACTATGGAGTAAGGCCCTGAGGTCACCATGGGGATGGGTGCCTCAGCCGCAGGCATCTTCCTTTGGAGTGGTTGCCTCCCAGGTGTTTCCTGGCCCTCCCTGTTCTCTTTTCCCCTGTTCTCAGACTAATTAGTGTGGAGGCTTAGGGAGCCTGTGGAGAGGAGATGCCAACCTTTCCCACGAGCTCAGGTTCCTGCAGGCTGGTGGAGGGGCCAGGGCAGGGAGATTGGGAGAAGATGAAGGTAAGGGTGTGCCTTAGTGGGAGAGGGGTTGAATCCCCCACCTTCCTGGATGCAGCGTAGGTGAGGATGGGAGCAGGATCATGAGTGTTGGGGGTGAACACTCTGTGGGCAGAGAATAAGATGAGTGATCTTATGTGAAAACTCGGGAAGCTCTTAGAATGGGAGGGCAACTAAGAGACCCTGAGTTTGCGCCCATAGGTGTAATGTGCATGCTGGGAGATGACGGTGACTGGGTTCTGTGAGAATGCGTCTGAGGGATGGACTCGCGAGAGGGCATTCCTTAGGAGTAGAGGGGAATGATATGGATGGTTTGAGGCATATGCTCTTGACTATGGGACTCAGAAGTGAAACTAGGGATGAGGCTGAGCTGAGTCCAGGAACAGGGCTTGACTTGGGCCTGAAGTCAGGGTTAGGGAAGTGGAATAGCCAGGAGGGGATGTTGGGGGGAATCTGGGGAACAGTGCATAGAGAGTATGAGCTAGATGAGTGGACCCACTTTGACACTGCCTCTCCGATTCCCTCCTTCCGCAGACAGGAGCACTCAGTCCTACACAAGATTCTCTGGTGTGGGGTTGGGGAGACCAAGACTTTCTCAGCAAGGTGGACAGAGGGTTTGCCTGCACTCCCGGAGACGACACCGCACCACGTTCAGTCCAGTCCAGTTGGAGCAGCTGGAATCAGCCTTTGAGAGGAACCAGTACCCTGACATCTGGACCCGAGAGAGTCTTGCCCAGAACACAGGTCTCAGTGAAGCCAGGATCCAGGTGAGACCCCAGACTTAACCCCGCCCCCACCCCCTTCGCTCTGGGAAGAAATGCAAGTGCAATGCTCAGAGCTTCCCTGGGTACAAATTCTCAGGAACATTATGACCCTAACCTAAACATCACAGGAATGTAAACCCCATCTGACTGTCAACCTGAGAGTGTCACTGAATATAAACTTCACTCGAACCTAATCTCATTTGAATTTTTAAAAGCCTAACAGTAACAGGATTCAGTCCTAACTATTCAAATGAATACATTGCTTTGTCTTAACCAAAGCTGAAATTGAACCAGACCTATGCTTTTAACCATAAAGTTATTTAACCTTAAATATATACCTTGCCCTAAATCCGACCTTGTCTATAACAATTAAACTCTAGCCTTAATCTCTATACTTAACTGTCCACCACTCCTCTTTTATCTCTCTTTTGTTGGAAGTTAACATTTCTTACTCACCCAAAGTTGGGTACCTTTAGGGGTGAGGTTGAAGTTCTCCCCATGTCAATAAATATAGCTCAGTCCTACCTCTACCTTGACTTCTAGCCAAGAGGAAGAGGCCGGTACCTACCTTCTCCTTTCACTGGGAGAGGGGTTACATGTGGTAGTGCCACCTGCTTGAGAATGGGGGTTGACACAGCTGTTGTCCGCTTCCTCCTCAGGTCTGGTTCCAGAACCGCAGAGCTAAACAGCGGAAGCAAGAGCGGTCACTGCCCCAGCCACTAGCCCATTTGTCTCCTACCACCTTCTCTAGCTACTTGCCTGAGTCCTCTGCTTGTCTGTACTCCTACCCAACAACTCCTCCACCTATAACCTGCTGCCCTCATTCCTCTAACCAGCCTCTTCCTACCCAGGCCATGGGAGAGGGTTCCTTTACTCTCCCACACGCATCTGAGGACTGGTACTCCACCTTACACTCAACTCCCACTGCTCATCTGCCCTGTTCCCCACCCCCACCCATTTTTCCCCTCAGCCTTGAGCCACAGAAGTCCTGGAATTAAGATCAAACAAGCACTGATAAGATGGCCCTCATAAAACACAGAGAAAACTGGGTGGCTCCCTTTCCGTCTAGCAGTAGAGGAGAAATATGGTGAGAAGCAGCTCATAGTCTAGAAATTAAAAATTGGTAGATATGATGAAGGTTTGCCAAGGTGACTGAGAGATAGAGTACTGGTGGGTACAAACCTCAGTGGAGGAGACTGTGGAAGATGTTCTGGACAAAGTCGATTGTTGCTGCAGGTGAAAGGAGTTGGTAGAGGACTTTAGGGACTTTCACCAAGGAGCTCACAAGTGAAGACCGTCAGCCCAGCTGCTGCTAGTGGATTTCAATATGACTGTGACGCACAGTCCACCAATACATCCCTTCCCCATCACCCACCTCCCCACACAAACCAGTCATATGCTTCATTCTGTCCACTCTAGCGGATGGTTGCCTCTCTCTGGCCCCCGATCTTCAACTGAGAGGCTTCATTGGTTCTCTTAACTCCAGACTTTCCTGCTTCCGGCTGATCTTCCAAAATTTACCAGCAGTGCCTTATTCAATTTTTAAATACATAGATATATATTATAAACAGCTTTCCCAGGGTGGGACAAATGTTTAAGTGCAGAACTACTAACCAAAAGTAAGTACAGAAAAGATTCTGAAAAATACCTTGCCTGTCTCATTTACCATTATATAAAAATGTTGAATATACAAAGTGATTTGCATATGGGCTTGTTGTGTATTGTGTTGGGACACATGCACATGTTACAAAACATAAAGCCATGCACACAGATGACGGACGCCAGCTGCGGTGAGGTTGCTCAGTGTGACTCAGGAGTGTGCACTTGGCCATTCAACTCGATTTTCTTTGTTTCGTACTCAGCACTCAGCTTGTTATTTAGTGATAAGAACAGTTCGTTCTTGGGCAGCTGCCCTGTCCTTGGAGCAGTTGGGGTGACCCATCCAGGCCAGTGCTCTGATAGGTTCTTTTGAACTCAAACCTTGAGAAAACTGGCTTCCTAAAGTCCTTTTTGAGTCAAACAATGAACTAGAATAACTTAGTTAAGGTCATTCTGCCTTATTATGCTTTTTTGAATAATTCCTGTGTGCTGTTTCAAGAAGCAGAGATTCCAATGGTCAGATTAAAGCCCGTTTTAGGTAAATCAGTAACTGTTTTAATGGTCTTTGAAGACAATACTGTAGGAATTCCTTCCTGACCACAAATTATTCATCAGTGTGCTGCCACTTGTCTCCATAGCAATGTTGATAAGATGGGAAATAAGAAAGAATCTTTGGAAATTTTTTCCTCTGTTTACATTTTTGGCTCCATATAAATATTACCCTGATCTGTAAATTATATATTAAACCAATCTCAATAAGTGTCTACTATTGGCTTAATGACTTTTGTTTAATAATACTAAACTTTTCTGAATGTATGAAACATTTCATAATGATTTCATTTTTTCCATCAATTTCCATGAGATAAATAATATTGCATTTTCCTAAAACTTATTTTTGCTCTGAAAAATATGCAGGCATGACATAGTTATAAATTTAATTTTCATAATAAATATGGATTTGCCGTATATATTAAACCCTTAGTGTGTTTTAAAAATGAGTATATTTTATGGGCTTCTTTCCATTTCATTGTTTTCATTACTGTAACTCAGTTGTATGCCATTTTCGTGCCATTTGGTTGTTAGAGTTAATTTAGTATGATTTTGCCCATGCAGCTATATTAAGGATTTTTTTTTAATGGTAAAAATCATGACTTATTAAAAAACAAACTGACTGCCATTGAGTAGATTGTGCTCACAGCAACCCTCCAGGACAGGGTAGGACTGCCCCTTTGGATCTCAGTGGTTGTAAATCTTTACAGGAAGTCTTGGGCTGGGCTAACATAAACCCATCACACAGGATCAGAAAGCTTCCTCGTTCTCCCTAGGAGCAGCGGGTCGGTTGGCACTGCTGGCAGGTTTAAAGAGTTGACCTTGCACTAGCAGCCCAATGCATAACCCACTATGCCACCAGGGATCCTATGATTCTCATAGACTAAGACGTAAAATAAACCTGTGTTGAACATTTTATCCAACTCAAAACTAATGACGCTAAAACCAGTTCAAGGGACAATCCAAAGAACAACGCGTTTGTAGATGAGGAATAGCGAAATGAAAGTATAGATAGAGGCCTCTTTGTCCTTTGGGGGACCTCCGCCACACAGAAAGTATTTACGTCTGTAGAACACGCGGCGTAGACCAGGAACCCCGGTGAGGACACAGGCTTAGATAGCTGGGCCGCTAAGCAAAATGGTCTTGGCTTTAAGCAAACAGCCCCTAACTGTGAGAAAGATGTGGCAATTCCACGAAGATTACAGCTTTAGAAAGACAGTTCGTTGTATCCTATCAGTTCAACTGGACTAGACTGCCATAGTTGGTTTGTTTTTTTAATGTGGAGGAGGGTCTGGAGGGTGTGATAGAACAGACCATCTCTATTTTGCCCTACTATTAGGTCTGATGGTGTAGAGGTTACGTGTTGGTCTGTATCTGAATGGTTGGCAGTTCAAAACCACCAACCGCTCCTTGGGAGACAGATGGGACTTTGTACTCCTGTAAACAATTACAGTCTCAAAAACCCACAGTGGGGCCGCTGTGAATCGGCATTGACTCAATGGCAGTGAAGGTGAGCATCTTAAGTGTCCTGGTGGCTAACTGAAAGATAAGCTATTCAACCTCACCAGGTACTCCCTAGAATGTGGCAGTCTTGTTTGGCGAAAATTTACAGCCTTGCAAACCCTAAGGAGCACTTCTTCTTTGTCCTGTAATAGAGTCACTATGAACCAGAATCCTCTCGATGGCAACTTTCTTGTACGTGCATTTTACTGAGTTGGGAAACAGCTCAAAGACAGTGAAAGGGTGAGAGCCCTCAAAGAATCTGAATAAAGTAACTTGGGAGAGCGGGCTTAAACAATGTAGTTTTTCACTGACGCATGTTTTTTTCCTCTGTGTTTTCTTCTCAGTGCTTATTCAAGTAGGGTAGTTCTACCTCCTACTTGGGGGTAGGGTTGTTCTGGTTTTGGTAATGTGCATTTACAATTTTAATAGTTAGTACCTAATCAGTTGCTGACAAGTCTGAATCATACTCACCTGAGAGAGAGGAGTAGAATGGTTCCCAAAGGGTGGCCCAAGCTGTCAATCTTACAGAAGCAGACAAGGGTGGCCCAAGCGGTCAGTCTTACAGAAGCAGACAAGGGTGGCCCAAGCGGTCAGTCTTACAGAAGCAGACAAGGGTGGCCCAAGCTGTCAGTCTTACAGAAGCAGACAAGGGTGGCCCAAGCTGTCAGTCTTACAGAAGCAGCCGGCTACATCTTTCTCGGGTGGAGTAGCTGCTCTTTAGATTAGCAGTCAAGAGGTTTAACTCCTATGCTACCAGGGATCCTAGATTGCCTTAGTGCTGAGCACTACGTTTGCCGACTTCGAAGAATCCCTAGTGGTACAGTACTCACAAGTTGGGCTGCCAACTTCAAGGTCCACAGTCAGCTCCAGGAGAGAGAGATGAGCTTTCTACTCCAGAAAGTCTCAGAAACTCACAGGGGCAGTTGTACCCTGCGCATAGGGTAACTTCTACTCAATGGCAGTGAGTTTGGTTTGGTAAGTTTGCAGAAGGCCCAGCAGTTTAAAACCATCAGTTGCTGGAGGGAGTTGGGGGATAGGGGGTGATGAGGATTTCTCTTGTAGAGAGTTACAGTCTCAGAAACCCGTAGAGGCAGTTCCAGAGGTGAGATTCAGAAGCCATGGCCTGTATAGTTGAGATATTGGCTTCTTCCCCCGCATATGTGTTCAGAGGCTTTTTAAGAGTTCCCACTGGGGCATGAGAGATTCTGGGAACTTTAGTTCAAAAATACTCTATTGCCACTAGATGGTGTTGAGTCAAGGGCTTCTGGTGACTGTAGTCTCTCGGTCTCCGAGGTAACAAATCAAAACCAAGCTCACTGTCACTGAGTGAATGCTGACCCTTAGGGACCCTATACACAGTAAAGAACTGCCCCTGTGCATTTCTGAGACTAACTCTTAACAGAAGTAGAACATTCCATTTTTCTCCCAGGGAAGGGCTGGGGGCTTTGAACTGCTGGCCTTGCAGCCCAATGCATAACACCTACACCCTCTGAGGCAATTTCTGTGTAAAAGAGCTTCAGAGTTGTCCTTAAAAGGCGGCCTGACTCTAGGGGTCTCTTTGAGCTCTCATCTCATTCAATTACATCAGGAAACCACTCTGCCTCTGTCTGTGGTCACTCTCCCCTTTTGCTCCCCAGCTTGGTTTCACTTGTCTGCTGAAAGTTCCCTTCCCAGCAGCATCTGAGACTGACTTCAGGGAGCAAAATGACTTGTAGCCTGAAATAGGTGCACAGACGTGGTCGGCAGGAGTTCTAGAGCAGGGCAGTCGGACACAGACCTCCTTCAATGGTGCAATCCAAGGCACCGTGGCCCCAGGAAAGACCTTGGAAGAAGAATTATGTGGAAGGCACGGTGCCAGGAAAGAGGAGAAGGTGTGCCCCATTGTCCTGATCCACTGTGCCTGAAGACAGGGTTTGTGCCCACTAACTTAGAGCTAGTGCACATCACCATCAGACATCAGATCCAAGAAGGATTCCAAAGCAGGGTATATGCCTCATCCTTTTGAACTTTGTTCTTGGGCAAATGCTGGTCTTTATATCTCAGATATTTGGTTATTTGAACAATTGTAAATGTTCCCCTTATAAACCTGTCTATTGTTTAGAAACCTGTCTATTATAAAGATAAAGAAGACCAAAATCCCCACAACTAGACTAACAGGTAACATCATGATAAATGGAGGCAAGATAGAGACTGTCAAGGATTTCGTCTTTCTTAGATTCACACTCAGTGCTCACGGAAGCCACATTCCATAAAGCAAAAGACATCTTTCGTTGGGTAAATCCGCTGCGCAAGTCCTCATTAGAGTACTGGAGAACACGGATGCTCCTTTGAAGCCTAAGGTGCGCCT